AATTTTTTTGCTGGGAGCAGAGACCCCAGGAGCTTCTCTGTCCCCAAGAACTGACCATGGTCCATCAGTGATCAGCTGAGTCAATGTGGCCCCACTGTGGCCCCTGCCTCTTGCATTTGGCCCATGAGGGAGCTTCAGCTTGGAGCCACCCAGGTGTTAAGGGACCCCCTCTGTAGGGTCTCTGCCCTCCCAACCCTGGTGGGTGACTATAGTCCACTTCCTTCCCAGGCATCCCATAGCCAGGGTGCCCAGTGGCAGCTTTGAGGGACTGGGTAACTGGCCTCATTTCTCAGGTGGGGACACCGAGTCCATGTCTCTGTGTACAAGGGTCCCTGGGGAGGGCAGACCGGCAGCGTCTCCTTCCCAAGGCCTCTGCACAGCCCCAGCCCAGGGCGAACGTTTCTCGAGCCTCTGTCTGCTCTCCAGCTTTCTGACCCCCTCCTGCGAACTTGACTGATCCTCAACTCCGTGTCCCCTCTGCTGGGCGAGCGGAGGGCTCTCTGCCTGCTCAGGACTGTCCCTGACATTCCCGAGTCCCTCTGTGGTCCTGGGCGTGATACCCAAAGGCCAGAGCTTAGGCTTTGGGTGTGGAGGCCAGAGGCCAGCAGGAGGCCAGAGGCCAGCAGGAGGCCAGAGCAGGAAGCAGGTCCGTCAGGAGTTAGAGCCCCAATGGCACCGTCCCCGCCTCAGTGAGCACAGAGCGGGCCAGGTGCATGGACCAGGCAAGGAAAGACAGCACCCTGTGGCTGGCACAGATGGCAGCCACCTGCCTTCCCGCAGGAGGCACCTGTCACTGTCACACAGGCTGAGGGGGCGGGGCCTCGAATCCTGGGCTCCTGCCCGCTGAGCCAGATGACCTGGACACCATGGGGCATGTGGCCAGTCCCTTGGGGGGATGCCAGGAGAGGAACCTGTCTGGGGACCACATGGCAGGGTGGAGGGAGGCCAGAGGGGCTGGACAGAGTCAGCGATGACTGGGAGAGGGACAGGGGAAGTGCAGCATTTAGATGGGCAGAACCTTCTGGAAGCTTCTTTCTGGGGCCACTAGAAAGAGGCCTCTCATACTGGCACCGACCCTTACAGCCTCAGGGAAGTGTCTGAAGCCCTGTGTGCTGCGGTGTCCCCACCTGGACAGTGGGTCAGCTGAGCGTGAGGAGGATGGAGAACATGAGCCCCAGAGCCAGGGCCACTCCTCTCTGGACGAGTATCCCATTCCCTCTTCCTGAGGCAGGGGATCAGCCGTACCGGGGCCTGGAGGCCTGAGGCCAGCTCCGGGGACAGTTAAGCTCTCCAGCTCCCAGGGACCAGTGGCCTCATGGCCGGATCACAGCCCTGCCGGCCCTGGCAGCCGATCAGTTGTGATGTCCCCACGCAGTGGGCAACTTGGCTTGATGGACAGGGCCACCTTCAAGGCCAAGTGGGGGCCACCAGGGCTGCACTGGACACAAGAGGAGCTTGTGGGGGCAGGCGAGGGCTCTGTTGGGCATGTCAGCTGACAATTCTGGGACAGGGCCACCTCCAGGGGAGGCTCTGTGTGTTCGAGGCCAGGGTGGAGCAGGGTCTGGGTCTCCAATCCTCCCTCGCTGGACACCTCTGGTTTTCTTCCTCTATTTGGTTCCTCAACAGCTTGTGCGTTTACGAATCTTGGGGGTCCCCGAGGTTGGGGACAGGGACCAAGGCCAATGCAGGCCACAGAGCAACACAAGGGACCTCTGTAGCCACGGGTTCCATACTTGAGGGCTCTGCCAACTGCAGATGGAAAGTGTTAGGCCGTCTGCACTATACGGACATGTGCAGACCTGTCCCTGTCATTGTCCCCGAGATAATACGGTCCACCAACGATTTACATGGCACTTAGATCGCATCAGGGAGCATGAACCATCTGGAGGGTAATTTGAAGTCCTCTGGAGGACGGGCCGAGGCTCCATGCAAAACCTAAGCCACTTACCCAAGGAACTTGACCATGTGCAGGTTTTGGTACCTGTGGGGGTGCCTGGAACCCCTCCCCAGAGGACACTGAAGGACCGCTGTTGTCATACTGGTTGGGGGGTCCCTGTGGGCCAGAGGATGTCACACTCTCCCCCATCTCTACAAGAGGACGGGGCTGGAGAGAGGTGTCCCCCATGGTTCCCTCCTGCCGTGGGGACCTCTCCCTGACCTTCCAGGGCCCTGGGCCAGGCCTTCCCAGCTGGTCGCAGGTCTCAACTCTCTGCATGTCCTTGTCCCTGGGCCCCTTCCTGAATGTTGGTCCCTTGGCACCGGAGGAAACACTTGGCCCCAGGCTGGCGGAGATCCCCGGCTTAGGCGGGCTCTGGATCCCCAGCTTAGCTGACTCCCCGAGGCCCAGGGGAGATGCTTGGCAGGGAGGCTCCCATCCTGCCCCTGGTCACCTTCCAAACTGAGGTCTGGACCTGGCTGGGTGCCGGCTGCCGGGAGGAGCACTATTTAAAGAGCCATCCCCCGGCTGCCCCCAGCCTGGTGCAGCCACAAGGAGACTCCAGACCATGGTAGGACAGGCGGCTTCGCCTCCCGCTGGGCCACGTCCCTGCGTCCGGCTCTACCCAGGGAGCTCAGCTCAGGCCTTTAGGGCTGACCTTTAGGATGCCCGAGCCCATCCTTAATTCTGACTTCCTTCCTCAACTCCATCTCCTTGACCTTGACTTTGCATTTCTAACCTTTACCTTTAGCTGGGACTCACCCTGACCTTGACCTCATTCCTTTCACTGATATCTTTGACCTTGACCTGATGGGCCTGGTCTGACCTCAATGTCTCAAGGGGTGGCAGTCGGTCCACGTGGGTTCTGATTTGGGTCTCTGCTTCCCTGGGTGCGGTGGGGGCTGCAGAGGTGAAAGCAGGGGGGGGGGGGGGGGGCAGAGCGGGGACTGGGGGCTGCCAGTGGAGGCCACCACTCTGCCCCTGCTGCGGGGACACAGCTCCTGTTGGGGTCTGGGGTGGGTATTGCAGACCGTGTGGCTGCCAGAGTGCCAGGTCCCCCGGCTCACCTTGGCTTTGCCCTTCAGGCCCCAGGGGCTCCCCTGCAGCTGCCCGCTGCGGGCCCTCAGTCTTGCTCTTGTGAGCCTGGCTCTCACCGGCCTTGTTAGCCCCTCACAGCCTGAGACCTCGGGCTCAGCACCCTGCTCCCTCGGCCACCCTCTGTTGATCACCCGTCTCCAGCTGCACTGGACGCTCTGGGGCCAAGTCCAGGGCCTGGCTCTGGGCCTGGGAGATCAGGCACAGGGCTTGCCTGGGGGTCAGCAGGTCAGCAGAGGGTCAGGTAAATGCTCTGGTGCCCGAGGCCGGCATTCTGTTGGCTTTATCCATGGGGAAAACCAAGGCTCAGAGAGGGTAGTGTGTTTCTGAACATCACAGAGCCTGTGAGCAGCGACGCCTGAATTAAAACCCGGGCTGGAGTGACCCACTTCTTCCCCAGGTGTCCCTCTCAGGGGACTCTTACTTTCAGGGACCCATAATAAAGGGGAAGTGACGAGACGGCTGGGCTGTTGAGGGCCCTGGCCTCATGTCCCCCCTCTGTAGCTGGACAAGATCCCTTCCTCCTTTGCTGAGCTCTGGGCCACCTTAGGACCTCGTGTGCAAGGCTGGACGGGGGTAGGGGGTGGCACACCGAGACGGAGAGCAGGTCTGAGAGAGAGAGAGGGCAGAGTACCCTGCAGACGGAAGTGATCCTTTTTTATTAATCGGAGGGAAATGTCTGTGTAATTATGGGAGACGGGCTCTGTGGGGTGCTTTTTTCTTTACGATGTCTGAAGGGATTTATAATATTACAGAGGTTTTACAGCATCCTGACGTCCCAGCCACCCTGCCAGCCCCCTTTCAGAGGATTAGTGGAGACAAAGCACCCAGTAAAAGCTAATTATAAGTCAGCCGGGTGCTGCTGCTCCTGCCTGGGCCCAGGAGCCAGAGGGAAGAGGGGGCGAGGGCGCCGTGGGGGCCGGGGAGACCACACAGGCACTGGGCGGGGGCAGGGGGCAGGGAAGCCCGCGGGGGGCGCTGGACAGGCCCGGGAGCCAGGTGGTGCAGGCTGAGCTGGGGGGAGCCCAGACCTCCACCTCTCCCTCCATGAGGCCAAGGACAGGCTCTTTCAAGGACCAACTTGGGGACGGGCTCTGGGAAGTCCCCTGGGGCATCCTGGGGACATAGCTTTCACAAATGCCGAGTGGTGGGCTCTCAGGTACCAGGATCATCTGAAAGAAGCCCTTGGAGGCAGGAAGGCCAGCCAGAGACCCAGGGCTGCGTCCACGTGGGTGGCCTGCGGTCCCCCGTGTGCCTAGGTGGGACCTGACTTACGGAGGCTATGACCAAACATGGACTGATCCCGCTCTGAGCCACATCTGGGGTGGGCCCCGAGAGACCACCGATGGGACAGAATGGGTGTCACCCCTGAGGTCTTAGGTGGGCAGACAGCCACTGGGAGGGAAATGACAGGACAGGGTGGTGTGTGCTCTGGAGGGCGTCAGGCCCAGAACAGAGCAGGGCCTGTTGGTCTGACCTCGTCTGACCTTGTGGGGGCAGGAGGGCTTCCTGGAGGCTGGGAAGGCGTCCGGGACACAGGGGAGGGGGCAGGGCAGTTCAGAGGGGGCTTGGGGAAGTGGGGGACCCAGGTGGGAGGGAGAGGACGCTTTGGAAAGTGGCAAGGGACAAACCCTGAGAGCACTTGGGAAGCTTTTAGCAGCTGGACAAGGCCAGATTCCAGGGTCCCCGACACGGTGCAGACAGAAGTGCCCTGTGCCACTGGGGTAGCCAGGTGGGGTGGGGGCAGGTAGGAGGCAGGTGCCTGGCCCTGCGGGAGGTGGCGGGGAGGGCTCCGCAGGCCTCCTGCTGGACTGGCCAACCCTCAGCTTCCCGGGAGCCAGGTCTGTGTGCTGCAGGCACCAGGAGGCGGGAGTGTCCTCCAGGACTCGGTGTGCGGGAGATGAGGCTGGGCTGGGCTGACCTCCCGAGGAAGGGGCAGCTGCAAGGCCTCACCTGTTCCCGACAGGCACCCAGGAGGGCCCGGAAGAGGGTGGACGGCGGGGCCAGCTCCAACGTCTTCTCCATGTTCGACCAGTCCCAGATCCAGGAGTTCAAGGAGGTTGGTCGGCTGCCCCAGGGGACGAGGCCGGAAGGGCACAGGGTCCGGGGTGGCCGGGGGCTGCCCGAGTGTGTCCTCATTCTCCTGGGCCACGCTGGTGTGCCCCAGAGCTGGAGCCGGGTGACGCTGCCCTCCCTGAACCTCAGCTGCGCTGGCTGTGTGACTCGGCCAGGCCTTTCTCCTGAGCCGGGTTTCCCTCTCTGTAAATGGGGGCGGCGGAGAGCCTGAGAGGGGGGACAAGCACAGGCCACTGGGTGCTCCAGAGGATGACCACGGCCCTCGGACTCTGGGCAGCCAGACCGGGCAGCTGGGGACCCGGGGGCCCTGGCCGAGGTTCCCGGCCGCCGTTGGCAGGAGCGGTGACGGGGCCTGGCTGGACGGGCTGAGGGTGGCTCAGTGCTGGTCTCTGCCAGGCCTTCACCATCATGGACCAGAACCGGGACGGCTTCATCGACAAGGAGGACCTGAGGGACACGTTCGCGGCCCTGGGTGGGTACTCCGCGGCCGGGCGCCTGGCCTGGGGTGGAGCCGACCTGGGCCACCAGGCAACCTGGTGTGGCGAGGGGGAGCTGGGGTTGGGGTGCTGCTGGGAAGGTCGGGGATGACTGGGGAGCACGGGGGACCCGGGGCCAGGAAGGGCACTACCAGGGTGGAACAGCCTGTGTGAAGGACGGGGGCACAAGGGGTCCAGACAGCCAGTGGGGGTCCAGAAGTGGGGGCAACTGCCAGGGAGGGGTTAGGCACTGATGGGGGCGGGGGTTAGGGGACACAGCCAGGCCACTCTGGATGTGCCTTGAGCCTAGGCCACCTGAGTGTCCACCTGAGCCAAGAGGCCAGGGCCCCCTGCAGCTCCCGAGGTCCGTTCCTTATCTGCAGATGGAGGCCCAGGAGACGGAGGGCTGAACGTCCCCGCAGCAGGTCGGGCTTTAGGGACAGCAGAGCTGGGACGCCTGAGGGACCCTCCCTGGCTGGCTGAACGCAGGCCCCCAGGGCCCCGCCCTGCACCCTGACTCCTCTTTGCCCCCCCACCCCCCAGGCCGCATCAACGTCAAGAACGAGGAGCTGGAGGCCATGGTGAAGGAGGCCCCGGGGCCCATCAACTTCACCGTCTTCCTCACCATGTTCGGGGAGAAGCTCAAAGGTGAGCCGGGGCCAAGGGAAGGGCGGGTTAGCCAGCCGCTGGTGGCCCTGACACCTGGTCACCACGGCTGGGAACAAATGGCCCCAGGCACCAGCCCCTGGTGCACGCACCCTGCCTCAGGCCCCCTCTGGCCTGCACGGTGGAGGTCACTGTCACAGCCCCTGCCTCGCGTGGCCTTGGCCCACCATGAGGACAGCCCCATCGCCACTCCCAGCTTCTCCCGCCACCTGCCTGCTCTGCCCCACTGTCCCCAGCTGATGGGGCTGGTGCCCAGGCAGAGAGACCTTGTCCGGAACGGGTTTCCAAAAATGACCGCCACCCGCTCCAGGTCTGGCTACTCACCTGGGCTTGTTCTGAAGCCACTGCAGCCCCCTCGGGAAAGGATCAGGGGACTCTTTCCACAAATGATGAGTCAGAGGAGGCTCAGAGAGGTTGTGACACCTGACCAGGAGCCCCAGCAAGAAAGTGGCCAGGAGGGGGCCCCACCTGGGACCCTGGCTCTGATGGGGGCTCCCCTGAGACACGGAACCAGCTTGTGGGGGCTGGTGGCTGTCCCTAGCCTTTTTCTCTCCGGGCCCCAGGGGCCCCTGAAATGACATCCCCAAGCATGAGGGTCTGTGGCCGGCCTAGTTGAGGCTCCGGCTGCCCTGGAGGTGGGTGCTGTTGCTGCAAGAGCGCAGAAGCCCAAGGGGACCAAGCTGGGGGACACACGGGTGACCCAGCTGCTGGCTCTACCCTGAGCAGGGAGGCGGCCTCCATCTTTGATCCCAAGGAATGTGACCGAGATACTTATTAATGCCTGGTGGGAAGCTGAGCCAAGTGGCCTTGGGTGACCAGGGTGGACGGCTCAGGGGCCTGGACAGTAGGCGAGGCAGGGTACAGCCTGCCTGGGCGTGGGGCCTGCGTCAGGTGCTGTTCCCTGAGCCCCTCCGGGCACCAGGGGGATGAGAGGCGCTCTCCGCCCCGATGGCCGGCCTGTCCTGCAGATGGAGAGACCGAGACTGCGGCTCCGGCTGGGCTGGGGCCGGGCTGGCCATGTGACCAGGCCTGGTGGGGCGGCAGGGCTGCAGCTTCTCCTCATCTGTGCAGGGTCACTGTCCTGTCATGCGAACTTGGCCAGGCCCGCGTGAGAGGCCTGCGTGAGAGGCCAGCAGCCTGAAGGGCGGGGGGCGGGTAGCCACCCCTTTCCCACTAATTGGGACAGGAGACTTTGTCACGAGGTCCCCATCAGCAAGGATGAGAAGCAGTCCCTCCGCAGCCAGTTTTATGAGTTTGTAGGCCCCAGAGCAGAGGCCCGCTCTAGGGAGGAGGCCAGGGTGAACTGGAGGCCAGCAGCTGGGCCTGGACTAACGGAGTCCAGCTTACCATCCTCACTCAGGAGGAGGCCGGGGCCGGCCACAGACCCGCCCAGCCCAGGCCTCTTTAGAGACCACTTTCAGCTGACTGACCTCGGAGACCAAGACCTCCCAGCAGAGGCCACCCCAGCCCCCAGCCCCGGCCTTTGACCTCTGCACCCCCACCAGGTTGGCCACCGCTGTCCTGCTGCCTGACCAACCTGAGGGCCCCAGCCCTGCTCCAGCAGGACCTCCTCTGGGCACTCCAGGCCAGCAGGCCAGCTCATGCCAGGCTCCGTCCCTGGGACCAGCCTCACCTTGACCTGGATGAGCGTCCAGCCTGCAGGGGAGACAGAGTCTGCCCCGGTCTGCTGGGGGAGGCAGGTGGCGGGAGGAGGAGGGCACTCCAGAGGTCCCCAGGGTATGTCACACCCGCCTTCTCTTAGGGAGCCTCAGGCAGGCGGTGGACTCTCTCTGGACCTCAGTTTCCTCTGAGGGCCACTGAAGCCCGTGGTGGGTACCAGAATATATCTTCTAACGACAGCTTTCCCCAAAGCCACGCCAGTGATAAAACCAAAACTGCTCTGGCCACACTGCCACCACGCCTGGGTGGGTCAACCCTGCAGACCCTCCAAGGCCACTGTCCAAGCCCCGAGTACAGAGCTCTTCTTCCTCCATAGCCTCTGGGCACAGCTTGGGTCATACGTGAGCCCCAGAGCTGCCACCATTCAGATCTCAGTGATCATGCAAGAGCAGTTTGAAGATATTGGGCAAGTCACGTAACTTCTCTGAGCCTCAGTTTCTTCATCTATAAGATAGAGCCAGGAGAGTTAAGCACACAGCTGGTGCCCAGGGTGTCCAGGTACACGTGCCTGACCTCACCCACCCACAGTGCTGCTGTCTAGTATCCCTCTCACTTCCCTGCTCTTGCTTCGAGTGGCTTGGCCCTCCCCGTGGAGCAGAAGTTGGGAGCCATAGGAGGGGCCCCCACCTCCCACCCCTGCCCACCTGGCACCTGTCTCTCCACCTTACGGCTTTCCCTGCCCCGTGGGCTGCTGCTAGGCACGGACCCAGAGGAGACCATTCTCCACGCCTTCAAGGTGTTCGACACTGAAGGGAAGGGATTCGTCAAGGCTGACCTGTGAGTGCGCTGGGGTGGGTCCTGGGGGGAGGCAGCCCCTTCCCTTTCCCACCCAGAGTCCAGCCCAGCAGGGGCAGCACCCTGTCAGGAGACCACTGCCCAGTCCAGCCCCTCCTGGGCCCCTCCCCCTCTCTGGGCCCCAGCGTCCCCCTCTGCAGGGTTGTGGGATTGGAAAGGAGTTGTGAGAGGTCACTTGGGGGTCTTCCCTGTCGTGGGGAAGGAGGCAGAGGGGTCCTTGAAGGAGACTCCAGGTGGCCTGGTTGGGATGGTGGATACTGAGCATGGGGTAGGGGGTGCAGCGCCTGGGTGGGGGCTCACTCCCCAGCCGGGACCCCGGTCTGCTCTGGGAGCATGGGAGTCCTGAGAGCCCCTCCCTGTGGGTGCAGGGGGCAGAGCCCCAGGCGGGGAAGTGGCAGCCTACGCCTACCCGGGCCCTGGGGCTGTGTCAACTCTGATCTGTGCCCACGAGGTCCCTTCTGAGCCTGGCTGGGCCTGGGTTGGTGGCCCTGGGCAGGTGAGATTCCTCCCCCCCCTGCCCCCACAGGCTCAGGCCACCTGACCATGACCATGTGCCTCTGGTTGGGGGTGGTTTTACGGAGTCCTCACTCGGAGTCTCGCCCTGGGGTGGAGGGGAGGCCGGTTGGTTCCATCTCACACGATCTCACCCAAGAGCGTGAGTCAGACTCCCGGGTACCGCGGGACGGTCGAGGGCGTCCGTGTCCCCCATTTTCCATTCCCTCCGAGGGCCTGAGGCTCCCACCTCCATCTTGGGGTCAGGGGAGGCACCTGGGGCCCCCACCCAGCCTGGCCTGGCCCAGCCTCCTACTCTCTCCCACCCACTGAGGACAGGGCTGGGAGGAACCCATCAGGGACCCAGTTTGGGAATGGAAGGTGCCTCCCCAGGCCACGGGACCTGGAGGAGGTGGCTGCTGGCCAGCAGGCCACAGAGGAGGCTCTGGTTGAAACAGCGTCTGTGACGAGTCCCCAGCTCAGGGAGTTGGAAACTGTGACTGTCCCAGAAACATAAATAATGGAAAATGTGCGTCGGCACCGAGCGGGGCCTGCCTTGCAGGCACCAGGGGACACTCTGGGACACGGGGCCTGGCTCAGCCCTCTGATCATCCTGTCCGTCCACCAGCCAGTCCCCCATCCTGGCAAGGTCCCTCAGTGCCAGGGGATCCGTCCCTTTGTGTACAGGCTCCAGGTCCCACCGCGGACCGCTCCTCTGCCCCCAGAAGCTGCTCTCCTGACGCCCAGAGGGATGCCCCCCACTGTCTCTCTGTGGGATGTAGGGCAAGCCATAGCCCCCCAGCCTCAGCGTCCCCCCCCAGTGAAAGGGGGATCCAGTCCCCGTTTCCCAGGTCCCAGAGGGGCCGGGCGTGGGCAGGCTGTCCTGTGCTCTAGGGCAGCATCTGAGTGTCTGTGAAATGCTACGCAGATGTCAGCAAAAGTCACCATCTAGACACAGAAGTCTACAGATGCCCAGGTCCTGGGCATCTTCCCTCAATGACCTTCTTTTTGGTACCAAGGATTGAACCCAGGGGCACTGAACCCCTGAGCCCCATCCCCAGCCCTTTTTAAATATTTTATTTAGAGACAGGGTCTCACTCAGTTGCTTAGGGCCTCACTTTTGCTGAGGCTGGCTTCGAACTTGCAATCCTCCTGCCTCAGCCTCCCCAGCTGCTGGGATGACAGGCGTGAACCGCCGTGCCCTGCTTCAATGACATTAGTAGGTTATCAACACACCCTGGGAATCAGAGTGGCTCCAAGGTCATGATGGGGTCTCAAGGTCATCTATCTAGTCCCCACCTGCTGCTGGGCTCTCAGGGAGAGCCTGAGTGACAGAGGAGGGGGGAGTGCTCAGAGAGCTGTCTGAGGGCTGGGAGCGCCAGCCCCAGATTGGTGTCCTCCGGGGTCAGGACTCCCCGGTCCCCATCACCCCTGGGATCTGCATGCCCACCTGGGGCAGCCCTTCCCCTGGACATGATGGGCGTCTCTCCATGAGCAGCATCAAAGAGAAGCTCATGACCCAGGCCGACCGGTTCAGCGAGGAGGAGGTAGGTGTGGGCTTTGGGGCACGCGGGTCCCCTGGCCTCGGGGCAGCGCTGCTCCAGGCTGACCCCCGGCTGCCTCCCCAGGTCAAGCAGATGTTCGCGGCTTTCCCGCCCGACGTGTGCGGCAACCTGGACTACAGGAACCTGTGCTACGTCATCACGCACGGCGAGGAGAAGGACTAGCGGACGGGGTCCCCCGCTGAGCTGGCAAAGACGGGGAGCGTTCCCGGGGAAGGCCCCCCTGTCCCACCGTCCCGCCCAGGCAGGAATAAATGCCACTGAGGCCTGAGCCTGTGTGACGGTGGTCACTGGGGAGAACTTTCCCATCGGGTTGGTTTTTCCGAACTCTTTGGTCCCTGGCTTTGCTGGGCTGTCCCTCGTGGCTGGTTTAGCGCTGATTGACAGCTCGAATGCTCCCCGGCTGGGCCCCGGGACAGGGCCTTTGTCTGTGTGGCTCTAACTGAGCACCTAGTGCGTGGCAGGGCCTCTGCCAGTCCCCGGGTCGTGAAGGGGAGCCGCACGTATCCGTGGGCAGGAGGATCACCCTGACTGCGGTGAGGGAGATGGTTACAGGGGATAGAAAGGGGGACAGAAAAACCATGGGGAGGGGAAGGGGCAGGTAGGAGCTGGGCATGGCAGAGTGGGAGAGGAGGCAGGGAGAGCCCAGGGGTGTTGAGAGGGCAGGAGAAGACTTCTTGAACAGGACACTCAGACACAGGATACAAAGATCACGGAATAAGGCCAAGTGCCGTGGCACAACCTGTGACTGCAGCAGCTCGGGAGGCCGAGGCAGGAGGATCTCCAGTTCAAGGCCAGCCTCATTAACTCAGAGAGGCCCTAAGCAGCTCAGCGAGACCCTGTCTCTAAATAAAATACAAAGACAAGGGTGGGTTTGGGGTTGTGGCTCAGTGGTTAAGCACCCCTGGGTTCAATCCCTGGTACCAAAAACAACAACCCAAAACTGCAACACGGTCCGGGTCCAGCTCAGTGGCTAAAATAAAGAGATGGGCAATCTCAAGTGTTGGCGAGGAAGGTGACTAACAAGTCAGCCCCTCGGGGACACTGTCCGTGTCTATTTGTGTTAAAGGTGTGCAGATCCCAACCCAGCTCTCCCACTCCTGGGTTTGTGACACCTATCACATGTCCATCAGAGGACATGGTGGGGACTTGCAGAGTTACAATAGACCCCAAGGGGAAACCACACAAGCACCCCTCAGGGCAGCCCTGATGCAAAGGCCACAGCACTTCTGGGCACGGGAACCGAGCCCAGCAAGACAAGGCAGCTTCAGAGACACACAGTGACTTGGCGATACCCGTTCGTGTCATCTTGCAGGGAGAAGGAAGTCTTCTGTATCTAAAGCCAAGTCTGTTTATTGAGATACAGCTTACACACCATCACACCGACCGTTCTAGAGTGGCTTCGGGTGTAATCACGAGGGTGTCCATATCCACAGCATTCCGTCACCCCACCAAGAAGCCCACTAGCAGTTGTTCCCATTCTTCTGGCACCCTAGTGGCTGGAAACCCGGATGTGAACCTATGGGAAAGACCATCAGGCTGAACCTGAAGAGGCGTGCGCCGCGGGTGCCTTGCTACACGTGTGCAGGTCCCAGAACGCTCGAGGGCCTTTTCTGAGGAGGGTGGAGGACCCCTGGGATTGAGGGGTGCGGGAGGAGTCACCGTGCCCAGAGCGAGCCCGGAGGAGAACTGGCTGTGGGGAGAGAGGTGGAACGGGGTTGGCGACCCACTCAGCAGGCAGCTGGGAAACCCAGGAGGTGACGAATGTCACGTCTACAGCTCTGAACCCGCAGCAGAGTCAGGGCCTGGGCGCGCCTATGCTGTCCCGGCTGGGAGACCAGAGGATGGGCACAGTCAGGATGAGAGGGGAGCCAGGTACAGTGGTGCACACCTGTAATCCCAGCAGCTCGGGAGGCTGAGGCAGGAGGATGGTGAGTTCAAGTTCAGCCTCAGCATCTTAGCGAGGCCCTAAGCAGCTCAGCGAGACCCTGTCTCTAAATAAAATATGAAAGGGGCTGGGGCTGGGGCTCCGTGGCTGAGCGCCCTGGGGTTCAGTCCCTGGTACAAAAAACAACCACAACAAGATGGCTGAGGGGGGCACACAGGCCCGTGGCCTTGGCAGGGCTGTCCTGGTCCTCGGCCTGCGTGGGCTGTTCTTATCTCCTCTGTGGGAGCTCGAGGAGGAAACTGAGGCCCGGGTCTTGCCCAGGGTCCGTGGTGGAGCTGGGCGTGGGGCCCGCGCTGGCTCTCCACGCAGGACGCACCAGGAGCCACACGTCACAGAGAGAGCAGGCACCTTGCTCCCCAGCCCCTGGGTCACAGGGACATGGCTCCGTCCCCCTCCTCGCGAGCTCTCTGAGACTTGGCCTTCCTGGAAACCGTGGCCCCGCCCGGTCTCTGCCACGGACAAGCTGCCAGACCTGTTGGGGGCCCACGGAACCACCTGAGCCAAGGCTGGAGGGAGGGGTCACCTGGGTCACCAGCGCCTGCCCGAAGCTCAACTCCCAACAGCCCCGAGGCCTGCCAATCCGGAGAGCCCGTACGCCTGGGCCACGGCAGCTGGGGAGGCCAGAGGGACTTCAGAAGGCTCCGGGAGACTCCAGCCTTCCACCGTCCACTCACTTCACCTGTCCCCGGCCCAGAGTTGATTCAGGACACCACTGCCACCTCCTGTCCTCAAGGCCTCTGTGCAGGCTGCAGGGCAGGGTGGGCCCCAGGACTCTGAGTGGCCCAGGCCAGGTGTGGGGCTGCTGGAGACGCATCGAGCTGCCTGCGGATGGCCTCCTTCCCAAGAGGGGGTTCCCTGGTGGCCGTGGCTGCCCCTGACCCGGGTCCTCACCAGTGACCTTCTGCCGCCACGACTCCGTCCGTGTCCCCGGCAATGCCTGGGCTGGCTTTACCTGGCCCCGATGGGTCCCCTGGGTCCTGATCTAGGCCGGGCTTCTGGGGCACTGCAGGGGCCTAGCCTCCTAGGGGTGGGGTTGGGCGGGGACTCCTGAGACAAACAGACAGACGACTGCAGTCCCAACGGAGAGAGGCCAGGACGGGGGATGAGGAGGAGGTTGGAGACAGTGTCCTGGGGTGTGTGTTAGTGGACACAGCGTCTGTCCTGAGTCAGAACTGGAATCACCTTTCTAAAGGTATGAGGGCCCCTGGCTGGCCTCCTTGACCCAAACTCACAGTCCCCTGGGCTCTGGACTCCCACTGCAGAGTTTCACTTGCTTGCCCGAAAGTCCCATTTCTTCCTGCCCCAGGGCCTTTGCTCATGCTCTTCCCTATGTCTGGATCCCTGCCCTGCCCAGCACCAGCTGCCCCCTAGTCCACTCTGGCCTCAGCTCAGTGGTACATACTCACTCTCCGAGTGCTTTCAGGGCATCAGCTACTTTTGTCAGGGAGCTGTCAAAATAGTGTCTGTCTCCAGCCAGCCTGGTGGCCCACTCCTGCACTTGGGAGGCTGAGGCAGGAGGATCAGAAGTTCAAGGCCAGCCTCAGCAAGCTTAGTGAGACCCTGTCTTAAAATAAAAAAAGGGACTGGGGATGTGGCTCAGTCTTAAAGCAACCTTGGGTCCATACCCAATACCCCAAACAGGCTGTGTCTCCCCACAGTGCCATAGGATCCTGGGGTGGAGACAGGGTGGAGTGTGCCCGCTGCGGTGCCCCCAGCACCCCACACAGGGCCTGGCACATAATAGACTCTTAGAAAACCCTTGATCAAAACCAGGAGGCCCAGAGAGCCGAGCTGACTGGCGTGAGTCATCTGGAGGCCACTCGGCGGCTCTGGGCCTCTACCAGGACACTGGGGCCCAGAGGCTGAGGCTGGAACTTAGCTGACCCTCCCTGGGTCCCCACGGGACCTGCTCTGAGTGTCTAGGCCTCTGTTTCCCCTTGAGCAGGCGGAATCCTGTGGCCCTTGGGGTCTCAGACCTCCAGTTCCCAGGAGGGGTCCTTCTCGGGCGACCTGGTGGCTGTGCTGCCTGTCAGGGGACCTGGCTCCTGAGCTGGCCACACTGGCTCTCCTAACATTCTTGGTGGCCCCGAGCAGGCCTGGTGGGGAGGTGAGGGGCAGCAAGCCGGGCAGGGCGTGGCAGGCCTTGGCTGCCCAGGAGCTGGAGGGGGCTGGCCCTGCCCTGGCCCTGGCTCCCGGGGCCAGCTGCATCTCATTGAGGATAACGAGCCCAGCGAGACGCCTGTGTCCGGGCATCTCATTTTCCACTTGGGATCCATCAGCCAGGGCCGTCGGACAGTGGCCCCCGTGTAAATCATGAGGGGGTCTCTGTTAAGAGAAATGGCAAATTCCTTCCACCCCTGTGGCTGCTAAATTGACTTCCCTCCTGGCGCTTGCTCAAGAATGGCCGAGTCCTTTGAAGGGCCTTCCAGGACAGACCCCAGGGGCTTGGAGCCGGCTGGGCGGGGAATCTCCCTGGGAGCCTCCGCTGACCGCAGGAGGGTGGGGCTCCTCAGGGACAGTGCGGCGGGGAGAGGCCCTGCCTGACACCGGAGTCCACGTCCCTGGTGTCCACGGCACCCCTGGGGGAGGCTGCACCTTTTCACAGCCAGGGAGGGGCTGGGCTGGGCTGGGGCAGGGGGACATGGGGGATCTTATCCCTGACACCAGAACTCAGAGCGATGAGACGTCCCCATGGAATTCCAGGCTCCAGGGGTGGCGGAGGCACGTGGAGAGGTTCTGAGGGGACATGGGCAGCCACAGAGGGAATGTTATCCATGCATGCCGCCGGGAGCCCTGGGCTGGGCTGGACCTCTGGGACCCTGAGGGCCTGCCTCTCTCCCCGGGGCCCTCAGGTCTCCGTGGATGAAGCTGGGGAGAAGCCCTGTGGGGGACTGGAGTAGCTCTTCCAGGAGGGAGACCCTGGGCAAGTCACTGACCTCGCTGGGACTCAGTGTCTCCATCTGGAAGGTAGAGGCCACGCTAGTGCTGACCTCCCCGGGTGGACCCTGCCTTCCAGCAGGCCGGGCGTGGGGGACCCCCTCCGGCCCACCGAGCTCCAGGGAAAGGTGGCATCACGGCCGACAATGACATCAGGATGCACAAGGGACCCAAGGTGGTAGAGAGGTGGACAGATTGGAGGTGGACCAAAGGGCAGGGGGAAGACCAGGACTGCGAAGGACAGGCTGAGAGTCCCCCACTCCACTAGAGTGACACGATT